CGCAGGGTGCTGCTGCCCTCCGAGCTGGTGCTGGGGAGTCAGCGTCTGGGCTGTGGCTGAACGGGGCGCTGGGGCAGCGGGGCTGGAGCTGGCATCTGTCGGGGTCTGACGCACCCTCCTCGGGCACCGCATCTTCCCTCAGGAGGGGCAAAGGGCTGCGGGGTGTTTGCGGGGACCACAGCCCGACCTGTGTGATCTGAGCTGCTGTGAGCAGTGCCTGGGCAGTGCACTGAGGGAGACTTGTGGCTTTGCAGGGGGAATGAAGGGATGGAGCAACAAAAAAAGCTACATCCATCTTCTCTATGGCCCTGTGGATGGGACCAGCAAAAAGCAGGGACTTGAGAGCTCAGCGACAGGGAAGCAGGGCTGGTGCACAGACACTGCAGGGTGCAGGCAACTTACTCAGCAGAATGCCATAATCTTTGGTTTATTAGATTTTGTTCCTAATGGGTTATAATCGCTGCATTGCCCAACCCGAGTTTGCTATCAGCGGCTCTTCTGGGTCCAGTTACATTGCACTTGAGCATATGCCGGTGCAGACACACTCAAGGACTATCCTGGTTGCCTCTGCAGGTCCTCAGGAGAAGGTGAAATTCTCTCGCTTTGGCCACCCAACATAAACCCACATTTTTCATTCAAAAAAGCACCTCCTCCAGAGTGAATCCTCCCACAAAGACCAGACCCCAAAAGGCAGCTGCCCATCCTCTGCCTCCATGTGGGCGCCATTGCCAGAGACCCCGAGAGTGGACGGCAGGGCTGGCAGCAGCGGCTGGCTCCTCCATGAGCCTGGAGGCGCCGGGGCAGGGCCGGTGGCACGCTAGGGCTGCTGGGGAGGCTGGCTCGGAGGCCTGATGTGGGGTCTCTGGATCCTTATCTGTAAAGGAGGGACAGGCCATGCTGAGCTGTCAACGCTGCACGGGCTCTGCTCTTCACAATAAGCTCAGACAGCAGAGCCGACCCCAACGCAAGCCAAAGCATCCTTGATGCTCTGGGACGAGGCATGGCTCCCAAACATCTTTAAGGCATGGGGCCAGGACATCAGTCCCCAGCCGACAGCCCCCGACCCCCCATGGGGACAATAACCCCCGGGCAGACCTGGATTGAGGGGTCGATGGCCTGGAGCTGCGGTTCCCAACGCCTTTCCAGGGAGTGGGAGTGGGTGGACACTGCCTGCTCTCCTGCTGTCCTCAGAGCTGCAGCAGAGAAGTTGAGCAGAGCTCGAAGACGACCAGGGTGAAACAGAGCTGGGGTGGGGGGGTTCGCAGCGATGTACTCACAGGAGAAGGGCTGTGGCCTCCAGAAGGTCTCCTTGGCCCTAGGAGAGGGGGAGCAGAAAGGGGATGACATGTCGGGGGGGGCTGGGAGAGCCCCTGGCTGGTCCTGGCACCTGGGTCGCATGGGAGTGGGGAGCAGTGACTGAGTGTGGGGGCAAGATGAGGCTACGAGATGAGGAAAAGCCCCAGTTGCTGTGCATGCGCAATATCTCGCCTTGCCACAAGTGCGAATGAACAGAGGCGCTTCCCGGAGAGCCCCAGCTCCAGGGCCAGCAGGGAGCCGGCAGCAGGGGCAGGACACAGCTCCAGCTGGCCCTGGGGTGCTGAACTTCCCATGAGCATGGATGCCATGCCAGGACCAAGGGCTGGGGAGGAGGTAAGGAAAAGCTGGTGCTTCCACCGCAGCCTTGCACCTCGTCAGCCATCTGCTAACTCCCTGCTCTGCAGGAGAGTAAGGTCCAATCTTGCCGCGACCTTTTTCTTGCTCCAGATCAACTCTTTCCAGAGCAATGGGAATTGCAGTGGAAATAATTTGGATGGTATTCAAATTAAAATTAAATAGAAAGCCTGTCTGTAATCAAGCACTGGGTGAGATAAGGAAGAAATGCAAATATTCCTTGACACAGGGGAAAAGGGAAGGTAATGTTGAACCCACTGACATTATTGCACCCCTGAGCAGCAGATAACTGGGAAAGGGGCTGGAAGATGCTAAAAGACCACGCGGCTCAGCAGACTCACCCCAGAGCAGACTCCCTCCACCCAGACCAGATGGGTCCCACTAGTGGTGAACCTTCCAGAGATGGATTTTCCAGCAATTTTTCAGGCTGGCAAAGCTCTTCCTGACACCTAGCCTCCGTTCCCTGCCACACCCGCAGCACCCACCCCTGCGTGGGTCCAGCCCATGGCTCACCCCTGGTGGCGGCGGCGGCGGCAGAGGTGCGAGGCCAGGCAGGCGGTGGTGAACAGGAGGCAGAGCAGAGCCAGAGCTCCCACCAAGATGCTGAGGAAGGCGGCGAGGCTGACGGAGAGTCGCTCGCACTGGGCGCCAGTGGGGGAGAAGATGGAGAAGGGGAGGCAGCTGCAAATGGGGAGGAAAGAGCAGTGATGCCATGGGGAGACGTGGCTGCGCACGGTGGCCTTGTCTCTCCCCAGCGCCACTGCTACCTGCACGTGGGCCCCTCAGGCAGATGCTGGCACCGGCCGCCATGCTGGCAGTAACCTGTCTTGCAAGGGGAGATGCAGACGAAGCCGATGGTCCCTGCGTAGTGGAGCCGGTAGCCTTTGTAGCCATACAAACCGCAGGGGAAATAGTGCCTCAGCTCAGCCACTGTCACTGGGGAGGGATGACACGGGTTTGGCCATGCAGCAGTGTCGCTCCTTGATGCTTACCCAGGTCTCCGTGAGATGGATCTGTGCCTGGGGTGGGGACTGCCACCCGCCCGCCTCCCCCGTGAATGTTACCCGAACCCCAGGGCGCGCAGGGTGATGGAGACAATGGGGACAGTGGGGTGGTCCTCTCAGGCTCCCTGGCTTGGCGCCAGGAGCAACTCACGCTTCACCAGGTCGGTGATGTTGTCCCGGTGCAGGTGCTGGAAGAGGAGGTGCACGCCCGTCTCCTGCCGCCCCCGCCGCCTGTTGAAGGCGCCGGTGATGGCCCCCAGCAGCTCCTCATTCAGGAACCGGATGATGGTGCTGCGGCTGTCGTAGGCGAACTCGGACACCACCACGAAGGTGAAGCCATCGCCATCTGTCCTGCGGGGAAAAGACGGGGCTGCTGGTGGAGCCGTTGCTGCATCAGAGTGACTGAGCCTCACCATGCCTCAGTTTTCCCATTTGGGGGTGGTGAAGAAGGGATGAAGCAGGAGAAGAAGGGATGAGGCAGGAGATGGAAGGTGCCATGGAGCTTGTGTCTCCAAGGGTTTATCAGCATCAGTGCTGGAAAAACAGACTCTGGCGTGGGGGAAAATGCCCTTTGTGTCCCAAACCCTGTGGCCCCATGCCCAGCCCTGCCCCACTGGCTCCCCGGGGTGGGCAAGGGGCCACTCCACAGCCGACTCACATCTGGGTGATGTTGGTGTTGCTCTGGAAAGCCTTTACCTCCAGGGAGCCCAGGATGGCTGAGACCTGCGGCAGGGGAAGCGGGAGGGCGTGAGGGGAGGGCAGGACAGCACGAGCGCGGGGAGAAGCTGAAGGGTGATGCGGGCACTGTGGCCGAGCCCCAGGGGCTGCTCTGGCCTTTCATTCACGCGCTGGGGACCTGGCACATGGCCATGGCCACAGCCAGCATCACATGGCTGACGCTGCCTCCCTCCAGCCCTGCGCATCCGCTGGATCCCTGGGGATCCCATGGGAGGGGGGCACATGGAGGCACGGGCACCCCAAACTGCCATGCTGCCTGGTGTGCCAGTGTGTCCCCCTTCCCAAGCCCATCCCCTCTGGCGACGTACGGTGCCGTTGACTTCCCCAGCAGTGGCGTTTCGCAGCGTCCTGACCCGCAGCTGAATGCTTCTCCGGGGGAGATCTGCTGAGATGAAGTCACAGCGGTGGCTCTGGCATCCCAGGCCCAGGGCGAGCGGGGTTGGGGTTCACACCCCAATGGGCACAGGCACCCACCTGCACTGGGCAGCGGCCGAAAATCCCCCCCCGCCACCAGGCAGTGCTGGTCGGTGAAAGCCGGGGGGCAGGCGCAGGTGGGGGCGCAGGTGATGGGGTGCAAGCGGCAATGTCCCCCATTGCTGCAGTAGCCCTCGGGGCAGGAGCGGGAGCCGCAGGCTGAGCCACAGCCTGGCCCCTCACCTGCAGGATGGGGAGGCCAGGTCAGGTGGAGGCACGAGCCTGGCTGCAGGGACAGAGCCCCAGTGCATTGATCCATCCACAGCCACTCTGCAATGCCTTTCTTCCAAGTTTTGTTTTGTTTTGTTTTTTTTTTATGCATTAGGACTTTGAATATAAATTCAGATTCTCAAGGAAAAGCCCTGCGTCCCCTCCTCCCAGCTGGAGCCTTTTGCCCTTGTGAAATCCCAGCCTGCATTAGAACAGGAGTAAAACCCACCACCCCAACCCCATCACAGCCATCTGAAAACAAGATTTTATTTTAGCCCCCCCAACCTCAAATGTGCATCTGAACTTAGATGGGATGAGATTTTTTTTTTTCTCAAAGACAAAAATTGCACGGGAAAAGTTTCCCTTGCCAGCAGATTAGTGAGATCTGCAGCCTGGGAGCATGAGGGGTGGCTGGTCTCTGGTCCCTTCTGTTAAGGACAGCAAGGGCTTGGGTACAGAGCTCAGCCAGCTCCCTCTCCTCTCCAGCCAGTTTGGGTCCCATGGGAACTGTCTTCCACAGAGGCCCGGAGGGTGATGGGGACAAGGACCATGCCCACCAGGGTGCCCGTACTCACCTTCCTCACCAGTCAGGCAGGAGCAGGCATAGCTGCCCACCGTGTTGGTGCAGGTGGTGTTCCCTGGGCACGCCGTCCCCTGCGCGCACTCATCAATATCTGCCGAGGCAATGCAGCATGGCACCGGGAGAAATACCTCAGCCAGGGTCCCGCAGGTCCCCCGGGTTCCCAGTGGCCATGGTGAGCCCTTGTCACCTGAGCAGTGCCGCCCGTCGCCGGTCAGGCCAGCTGGGCACGGGCCACAGCCGGCGTGCAAGTCGCAGCCCACGCCAGGGAAGCATCCCTGGGCACAGGGGTCTGGAGGGTCCTGGCAGAAGGGCCCTGAGTAGCCGTCCTCACATCTGCAGGCTGCCAGCTAGGAAGGGGACGGTGACACTGGCTTAGGGGACACAAGGAGGACGGGTGGACAGAGAAGATGGCTGTTGCGGAGGAGCTTTCTGGCACGCTACCTGCAGGGAGGACCCCTTGAGGGTGATGGTGTCGCTGTAGTCACATTCCTGGCTCCTGCTGCAGCTGCAAAGGGTGAAGCGGAGCTGGAGGAGGGCGGTGAGGTTGTTGGACCCAACAGCCTCCAGGTTCATGGTGAGCGGGGCCATCCCGTGGGGCTCCCACGTCAGGGTGCCATTCTCTGCCGAGGTGAGAGGTGGGAATTAGAGGAGGTGGCAGAGGAAAGGGGCTGGGTGGACGGTGTCCCCCCATCCCAGCTGCCCCATCTCTCCTCCTTTACCCGATATGTTGAGCTCCGGTGAGAGGTGGGGGACAAAGCGTGCGCCCGCCCCCACTGCACGGTACTGCCTCCTGACCCTTTCTGTCCTGAAGGCCGTGAGCGACGCGTCACCGGTGATGACGGGAGGGAAGGCGTCTGAGGAAAAAGCAGCCCAGCACGCAGCTGGTTGTTTGCTACGTGGCCGCGTCACCCCTTGGCTCTGAGACCCTCCTGGTGAGGATGGGACCCCAGGCAGTTGCTGCCATGACCACCCACCGACAAGGCCCTTGTGTTGCACAGCATGGTGGCATCTCTCAGGCTTGGAGACCAGCCAGCCAGGCAATACAACTCAGAGACCTTGGTGCCAACTATCCTGCTGGTGGCATCTCCCAGGTTTGGAGACCAGCCAGCCTGGCAATGCAGCTCCGAGACCCTGGTGACTTCTCCTGCCTCACACAGAGCAAGAGAGCCCAGGGAGGGAGCAGTGCACTGCCTGGTTACCCAAGCCATGCCCTCTTGGAGGTGAGGATCTGCTCCACTTACTGAGTACTGTCTTCTTCTTCTGGAGGTCAGCTGTGAGGCTCTGGGTGGCCAGGCCCAGGGCCACGTCCCCCGTGCTCAGTGAATCGTAGATGCACTCCTTGCTGCCGTGGCACTGCGAGGCTGCCAGCTGGTACTGGCTTTCATTCTGCCTCAGCTGAGACAAGAAGATGGGTGTGAAGTTCATTACTGGTGAGTCCAGAGGCTGAGAAAACAGGCTGTGCTCTCCAACAGCCCCTGCAAGAAAGCACACCATGGGAACAGCCTTGGGTTTTTAAGGTTTGTTATATTTTAGGACTCATTTCCATGGAGCAGTGAGGAGACCAAAGGGCTTCCCTGGCATCACTTTTGCTCAGGCAAGTGTCTAAATGTCTCCAGCCAAAGCATGGCCAGAAGGTGTAGGAACAGGGGGATCGTCAAGGTGGATCCCAAGCCTGGACTTACAGGTCATCCCATAGCTGTAGATTTCCTCCTCGCTGCTATTCACAGGGATGCTGGTACCATTTGGCATCTGGAAGTCGTCTGCGGGGTCGTGGTCCCACACACCTGGTGGAGCATCACCAGAGGACTGGATACCCCATGCCGGGGTTGACCTCCTCTCTGGTGCTGGCTGGTGTTTAGTTTAGACCCGGGTCCCTGCCCTCACAAGCATGTTCCCCCATCATTTTCCAGTCTGCTTTAGGATGGGAAGGGGACTTTGCACCCCAGCTCTGCAGCAGTGCCAGGGGTTCTCACCCAGGAGGCCCTTGGTGCTGTTGCGGTACTGATCGGGCAGGCTGCAGACCACACTGAGGATCCTGGAGGTGGCCGAGATGGAGATGGCGATGGCCCCGTCAAAGACAGCCGTGATGGAGGAGGTGTTGACCAGCAAGACACCAGGGCTGTAGTACACCTTGGCATCCATGTCTGCAAGAGAAGGAGAGCACAGAGGGAGAGTCCATGCAAGGCTGGGGCCTGAAATGATGTGCCTGAATTTGGGGAGGGGAGTGCTCCCCATCCACCCCAGCTGAGTCAGAGACAGGGTGCAGGTGGGAGGCGCTTGACGGACCTCAGGATGGCTGCCCTTGCACTGGGCAGGGCTGGTTCCCATGGGATGGGGACACCCCTCGTCCCCCTCCAGATACATTTAACATTTAACACCACATCCTGCTCACCTTGGGAATAGGAAAACTGGATGGTTTCGTCATTCAGGAGTACTTGGATGTCACCCTGGCTCCCCAAGACCCACTCAACCTGCAAATCATGGCGGATGTTCCAGTCAGTCCCTCTGCTCGTCCCTTCCTGCCGTCCCCCCATACTGGGGACACTCGAGCTAAACCCTGTCCTCCTCCAGCCCCGGCAGAGAGGCTCAGCCCTGGGGGCCGTGTTGGTGTGCTGTTCACCCCAGTAAACACACGCTAAAACAGCTTTGATGGTTCCACAGAGAGGACAGCAAGCTGCCCCCCGTCACTGCTGGCATGGGGCACGCACAGGCCACCACCGCTGCTCGGCTGACCATGGCAGCATGGAGAGCTGTGCTGGTGGGCTCCAGGCTCTAAGCCCCCTCCTCACGCTGCTCAGCGGCTGCTTCTGGTGACACCAGATTTTGCTTACTGAAACAGATGTGGGGAGCAATTCTGCAATGCAAGGAAGAGTACGTGCTTGTGCTAATGTGTCCGGAGGAGATGGGTGGTCGGGGCAAAGGGTGTGCAATGAAGAGGGTGGAGCAGAGCTCCAGGGCCTTTCTGACCAGCTTGGAAGAGGTGTTAGAGCTGTGTCTCGTTAGTCTTAGTCCAACCCACTGCTATTAGTACTTTGCTGGGGTTGTGGGAGGTGGCAGGAAGAGGAGAAAGGATGCTCTTTGAATCCCGGCCACTTCTAGGTGATGCAGAGGCGATGCCCAACCTGCCAGAGGGGTCTCTCCCATTGGAAGCTCAAACTGATACCCAGATCACTCTTACTCACTGTTATGGTGGTGGCGGAGATGTACTGTGCAGCGAAGGCCACGAAGTTGGTGGCCTGGGCCGTGCCAGTCTGGGCCGTGCGCCCATGCAGCACAAAGCTGGTCCTGGCATCGCTGGCCAGCAGCAGGACAAAGTCCCCAAGCCCATTAAAGGTGTAGGTGAGTCCATCCAGGGTGGTGATGTGGGGGTCCCCGAAGGCACCAGCTGGAGTCCAAGGAGATGGAGCCATTTTGGGGGGAGGAAGAAAAGCAAATGCTGGTGTAATTGCACAGAGGAGAGCAGCCCCCGGTGCTGTGCTGGGCTCAGCAGTCCACACCGGGATGCTGCAAAGTGTGGTTAATGCATGGGGTCTGCATACAGCCGTGCCACCCTGGCACAGGGGAGGTAGAGCCCTGGGGATTCACCCGGGGTGGGCGGCACATATCCCTCGCAGCCGACCCTTGGTCTCTTCTCAGCAAACCTGGCACAGAACAGGGGCTTCCCCACGCGCCGGCAACACCAGTCGAATGCCTCCAGCTCCTTGTCTGCAGAGGAAGGCAGCTGGGCGCTGAGGGGTGTCGGGGTCCCTGCTGCGCCCGCAGAGCACTCGGTGCTCAGGGTGTTTTAGGGCGAGGGAGTGCCAGTGCCCACTTACCAGCGGTGGGGAGGAAGGGGGGGCTCCATGCTCGCTCCTGCCAGCCTTCGAGCAAGCTCCCATCTTGGTACAGACACCGCACCCCGGCTCCGGACGGGCTGGGAGACGCAGTGCGCAGCATCCTCACAGAGGCATCCGCCAGGTCTGAAATGGTGTGGGGGGATCACTGCTGCCCCCAGAGCAGGAGGGGACCCCCTGCTGTCCCCCCACCCCACGGCTGACCCTGGGGGGCCGCGCTTTGCACCTCTGCTCCAGCGGTAGCGGAGATCCAGCTCTGCCTGGGGCTGGGAGCAGGGGCATGGCAGCAGCTGGCCATTCCAGGCGGCCGGCGCTGGCTCAGCATCCAGCCACACCAGGCACTGCAGCCTGTAGTTCACCCGGGAGCGACTGTCCAGCCTGTATATCCACAGCCCGCGCACATCTGGGGGAGCAAACAGAGAACAGCATGGGTCGGCTGGGGTCTCGCCCTGTGTGGACGGGGATCCCATGGGACAACTGTCCTCAGCCATTGACCTCACACGAGGTCTCCAGGCTCCCTCTAGAGCCGGTGTGGCTGTGGCGAGCCACAGCAGGACACAGGACACCCGTGCTCTGCCCTCGGTGGCCAGCCCTTGCCCAGTGGGTTTGCTGACCCATCGCCTCGCAGGGACACACGCTGGGGACATGCTCCTGGTGCAAAGCACATGGCTCCCTCCATCCCCACCCACCCTGAGGGCTCCCCCAGTGCCATACCAGTGCCGAGGCTGCTGTGCTGGTCGGGTCGGTACTTGACAGCTGGTGGCTTTTGAGTCAGCTCATTATTTTGGGCATAGCCATCACCGCTGTGGGAGAGAGGAGGTTTGGGGTCATCCTCCCAACACAACCCTCCTCCGCTCCCTGTAGAGCAGCTGGGGTGGGAACTGCTGCGGTTTGCAGGAGAGAGGGTTTAAACGGGACAGGGTTCCTCTGGGGGTGGGAGCTGGGCTCTTCTGGGGATAATGTCTCCGATGGTCCCAACATAGTGCTGGGAGAAATCCCTGCTGTGCCAAAATACAGCCACACATGCACAGCACCTGGAGAAGCCGATCAGCACATTGCCTGCAGCCAGCTTGGTGTAATCCCACCGCATCCCACCGTCCTGGTAGAGCAGCAGGGCAAAGGAACGGTTCCCATCGGTGGTGAGGACCGCCTGGTAGGTGCTCGTCTGTAGAAACCCAAGGCACCTCCTTAGCGCCTCCAAAGCCTCCCCTGCTCTCCCGCAGCACAGACTGAGGCGGTGAGACCCAAAATGCCTGCATCAAGCTGCAGGAGACCAGCAGCCCAGTCCTGCCCCAGCCATTGCTGGTGACAATCCCCTCCATCACCTGCGTCCCCCACTGCTCACCCAAGTGTCATCCTGCTGCGACGGGTACGCTGGAGCCTTCTCCCACGTCACCTTCAAGGTCCATTTTGCTTCATAGGGTGTTTTCAGGTATTTCTCAATCTTTGCTTCCACATCATGGACAAGGGGGTCTTGGGTAGAGCTGAGGGTGGAGTACTCCTGCCGGTTGGCAAAAGAGAGGGTTAAATGGGAGAGCTGGGAGCTGGGCTCTCCCAGGAGAACATCTTTGGTGGCCCCGACCTGGTACCAGGTGGTGCCGACACCCTGGGAGAAATCTGCGTCGTCCCAAAAGGCGGCCACCATCGGCAAACTCTCCCAGCCGCTGAAGCCCCAGGGAGGTGGGTTGGGGTTGGAGGGGATGTAGTTGTCCGTGGGTGGGAAAATGATCTGTCCGTTATCTGTAAACTAACCAAAATAACTCATTATTTGCTGGCATCCCAGGCAACTCCTGGGATGGCTTTTAGCCTCCATGGGTGAGCAGCAACCAGCCATTTTAAATTGAAAAAAAATTAACATTCCGATGAAATTCAGTTTCTGCTCCATTTCCCTGTTTGGTTTTTTTTTTTCTACTAAAGAGGCTGCATATCCCTTACATCCTCAGCGAGGGGAGAACTCACGTAGAGAGCATCCCGCAGCAACTTCCCGAAGGGGAACCCAATCTCTGGCTTCAACAGGGGGGAGTTGAAATCCACTGTCCTCTGGATGCACTCTCGATCCCCTGCCTCTGTGCCGAAGGGGTAGAGCGAGGCTGCCGGCACTGACACAGGCAGGAGATTAATCAAAAAGGTGAAAAAATGTTAATATCTGCTCCACCCTTTCTGTGGCCAGGGCAAACTCGCCTGCTTGCCACCGGGATACTGTGCCTGCACTCCCCCCGACCAGACCAGTGCTCTGATGGCTTATAACCCAATTTTTAACCCAGTTTTTAACTTGGAATAGGATGTTGTCAAATGTCCTATTTCACCTTTCCCCATGAATCTGGCAGCCCAATGTGCACTGCAGACGAGTCACCCCCGGCCAGGCCGTACCATCAGACATCGTGGTCCTTGGTCGGCTAACAACCCCTTCCTGCTCTTTGCTTTGGGGATAAGAAAAATCTACTTACTGATAAGCCTGTGAGTGGGTTGGGGCTCAGGGGTAGGATTTCTGTGGCCAGTGGTGGTATGGGCAGATGTGCTTGGTGCTGTGGCTGGTCCCCTCTGTGTCCCAAAGGCAGGAGCCAGGGTGGTGCCAGGGCTGGTGGTGACTGGTGGTCTCCCCGGTGCCATGGTGCCTGGGGCCAGGAGATCTCCCATGTCCTTGGCTGGGCTCACTGGGGCTGTGGGTGCAACAGCCACGGTGTGGCCTGCGGTGATAGCTGTGGTGCTGCCTGCAGCGATGGTTGTGGTACTGCCTGCAGCGGTGGTCGCAGTGCCGCTTGCAGTGATGGCTGCGGTGCTACCTGCAGTGATGGTTGTGGTGCTGCTTGCAGCGATGGCCATGGTACTGCCTGGAGCGATGGCCGTGGTGCTGCCTGCAGCAGTGGCCACGGTGCTGCCTGCAGCGATGGTCGTGGTGCTGCCTGCAGCAATGGCCGTGGTGCTGCCTGCAGTGATGGCCATGGTGCTGCCTGCAGCGATGGCCGTGGTGCTGCCTGCAGTGATGGCTGTAGCACTGCCTGCACCGATAGCTGTTGTCTCCCGCCAGGCAGGTGCCCCTAGAGATGTCCAGAAGCCAGGAGGCGATGTGCTCGCTGCCTGTCCCATGGCATTGCTGCTGACAGCCGTGGGAGAAGTGACTCCTGTTGCCGGCTCGGGGGGTGTCTGTCCAGCTGCCGGCTCCCCAGTTGCACCAACACCAAGCAGGGATGAGGGGATTGTTGCTGGCTCCTCTGCTGGGCTGTGGGGGCTGGTGAGCGATGAACCGGGCACCGCGGCAGCAGGGCTGGCACCGAGGACGCCCCAGGACTTGGCAGTTGTTTCCAACGAGGGGGTGCGCACAGCTGGGGATAGGACAGGTTGTCCTCTGCCTGCCTCGTCGTGTGTTACAGTGAGGGACAGGGCACTGCTGGTGCTGGCGGCCTTCACCGTGGCAGTTGGCACAGCTGTGGTGGCCTCGGTCACCACGAAGGTCTCCCCGCTGGCTGAGGTGGCTGGTGGGATGGTGTTGCTGGGGATCACGCTGGCAGCAGGCGTTGTGGCTGGGCTTGTGCCAGTGGTGTTGGAGACAGGCACATGGGTGCTGTTGGTGTCGGCTGGGGGTGCTGCACTCTTGGCACTGCTCTCAGAGGGGGTGGTGTCCGCCCAGGCGGTGATACCCCCAGCACTTGACCGGGACGCGGCTGTAGTCTCCCATGTATGTGTGTGGCCAACACCCAGTGAGGAGATCCTGGTCGTGGGCTCATCCTCAGTGACTGGGCTGAGAGCCCTCAAGGCTGGATCATGGGTGCTATCAGTGGCCTCAGGGGATAGCCTCGGGGTGACACGGGGGCTGCGTGGAGTGGAGGCACTACTGGAGACAGCAGAGGGGGGTGTTGTGACCCTGTCGAGATTGGCATCACCTGCTTCTGCTGCTGGACCAGTGACAGCGATGCTGGGAGTGATGGAGGGTGCTACCAACACCGCATGGGTGTTCCTGCGGACAGGAGGGGACACACTGACATCTGGCTCAGAAGTACTGTAAGCAAGGCCAGGGGAAGATGCTATAACCGGCTCCGGAGCTGTGGGTGACACCGTGCCCACGATGGCCACTGCCAGAGGGCTTTTGCTGCCTGGGGTAGAGCGTGCCGATGGAGTGGCATCTCCAGTACCTGGCTCAGCCACTCCAGCCATAGGAGTGGGCAATCCCAGGGGCAGCCCTGCAGCCCCATTCCCTGTGGTAGGAGAAGCCGTGTCCATGTCCAAGTCCATGCCCGTGTTCGTGTCCATGGTGGGCTCAGCAGTGCGATAGCTGTGGTCCGATGCAGCCACACTTGGCCGAGCAGTGACGCTGGCTCTGGCAGGGGGTGATGCTGGTGGGGTTGTCCCCAGGGTGGTGTCGCTGCTGTGGGGGGTACCTGTCGTGGCACCTGCCCTTGTGTTTTCAGCTGGGGTTGAGCCCAGAGCTGCCTGCATGGTGCTGCCATCTCCTGCCAGCTGGGACCTGACCCCACCTCCCTCCACAGCTGCGTTTTCGCGGGGCGGCGGTGTCACGGGCTGGGGTGTCTTGCCAGTGGCGGCGTTGGGGAGGGGGGTGGCTGTGGCCAGCACTGGGCTGGGGTTAGCCACGGCCAGTGGGGCTGAGCGACTGCCCCTGGGAGCCAGAGGGGGCAGATCCGTGGGGGGCCTGGTTTCAGGAGCATCGGTCCCTTGGGCAGGTGGCTCTGGTGATGGCCCAGCGGTGATGAGCACGTGGCTGGGAGCTGGCCCTGCTGCACTGGCACCTGGGTTCTCCTCCATGCCCATCTCCAGAGACGCCGTCCCTACTGCTTGCCCCATGGTGCTGCCCTCAGGGTGGGGGTCACCTGAAGCACCCATTGCTGACGGTGGGGTAGCCGGGGACAGTGGGGACATGCCTGCTGCCATCTCTTGGGGGATGCTGGATGGGGGCACCCCCAGAGCCATCTCTGCAGTAGCACTGACTTCCAGAAGAGGAGGGACGCCTGCTCGTGATGCCACAGGGATGCTGGCTGCTCTGGGTACCCCCGGGGTGCCTGGCACAGCTGTGCCCATGCCTGGTGCGGCGCTGGGTGACCTCGTCTCTGCACCCAGAGCTGTCCCATGTTGGGGCCCAGCCTGGAGCAGTGGGGCTGGTGCAGGTCCAGGGGCGACACCAGTTCCCAGGGGTGCTGAGCCCACAGTGGGACCAGGCTGGCTGCGGCTGGGAGATGCATCAGGCACAGCTGGGGTGGCTCCGGTGTCCCACAGCATTGTGGTGGCATTGCCACTGGCCAGCAATGCTGTTCCCATCTCTGTTTCACTAATTGGAGTGTTGCTAACGAGGGAGGATGGATGGGCAGCTGGCCCAGTCCCAATGCCATACCCACCAAGGGAAGATGTTGGTGCTGTGGCGGCTCGAGGGGTCCTGTCTGGCTTTGCTCCACCAGCGCCTGTGAGGGACAAGGACGTGGCCACGCTGGGTCTGGTTGGAGGGGATCCGCCTGCAGACACCTCTGCCGCGGTGGTCCCAGGGTCTGCTGAGGGGATCTGGGGGAGCAGAGACCCCATGGAGTGCACAAAGGGCCCTGGAGAGGGACCACCAGGGCTGTCAGGAGCTGAGTGGGGGGACAGCCTCATGTTGAGCCCCGCTGGGGTGGCCTTGGTCTCCAGGGAAGCAGTGCCTGCTGTGGCTCTGGCTCTGGGATCACTCCTGACGGATGCCAGCTCAGCACCAGTGCTTCCCAGAGCTGGGAATGACGCAGTGGGAATGTGCTTTGCAGCGGTGACATCCATCGCCATAGCCGGTGTGCCCAGAGATAGTGCAGTGGCCTGAAGGTGGGTGACAGTGTTGGCTCCAGGCAGCCCATCTCCAGCAGTGCCAGGCATTGTGCTGCGGCTGGGGGGAATCGTCTCTCCTGCGCCCGGCACAGCACCATCAGGGAGCCGGGGTGAAAGGGCTGGAGGCAGCTGAGTGGGGGGCACAGCGGGGTCCTGCAAGGCATTGTGGCTGGTGTTGGATAAGGCACGTGTCCCTGGCTCTGTAGCCTCGTCGATGCTAAAGGTGGCAGAAGAAAAGGTGACCTTTGCCGAGGATGCGCTTGGGGGTTCTGCAGGAGGTGGGGCCACCATCCTGGCTCCCTCTGTGGCTGCATAGGGCGGACCCCCGGGGAGGCCAGCAGCAGGGCTGGCTGAGGCTGCTGCCAGCTTCATGGGGCTGCCCGTGTCCCGAGAGATGCTGGCTGCTGTGGCTGGAGGTGAGGTGGCCTCGTCCAGCCCTGGCATGACTTCCTGGGACAGGAGCATGGCGGTTGCGTGTGACTCAGCAGAGCTCTTGCTGATGCTGGAGGGTGAAGTCCCTGTGCTGCGCTCATCCTGGGGGAGCGATGTCACTGTGGTCCACGCTGTCCCTGGCATCCCCTCTGCAGTGACAGCATCGCCCAGCTGCACCAGCTTATCGGCATCAGTCAATTTGCCGGTGACTGAGGAAGATGCTTTTGTCCCTGGCACTGGTTGAGCAGCCAGGACGTGTGCCCCTGCTGGGGACAGACCTCCACCTGGTGCTGGCAGGGCACCTCTTGGTGCACCGGCAGCACCCATGGGTGGCTCGGCCGCAGTCCCCTCTTGCACGGGGACAGGTTTTCCCAGGACTGGCCCTCCAGGGATGCTGTCCTGAGCCACTCTGGACACTTCCACAGCCTGCTTGGGAGCAGTGCTGCTGTTTGATGGTGGTTTGCTTGTCGCAGCTATAGCAGGGATACCTGGAGCTGGGGATGATGTGGCTGTGGCTGGCCCAGCATCGCCACCATCTGTGGCAAGCCCCACCGCGTGCATCGTTGGTGCAAGGGACAGAAGCTGCCCATGCCGAGCGGTGGTGGGAGCTGGAGCGATGCCGGTTGGGTGGCTGGCAGTGCCTGGAGAGGAGACCCCAGACCCTGCCCCTGCCTCTGCCTGGGGGCTGTCTATCGTTGCCAGACCCCCGGGGAGATCTGCCGTGCTGGGAGGCCCCCCCTGCTCACCACTGGTCTTGGCTGGGACCAGCACTCTCGCCGTCACCTGCGGCACCAGGCTGCCTGCAAGGCGAGACAAGGTGGCCCCAGCTGGATCAACCCCACCACGGCCCCAGCAGGCAGGAACCTGCCTGTAGCCAGCTGCCTGCTGGCCTTACCTGAGCCGTGGCTGCCCGTGGAGGTGGTCCTGCTGGCAAGAGAGGGGTGCTCCGGCTGGGCGGCTGCGGTGGTGGGGAGCACCTGGCACGTGCCCAGTTCCAGAGGCAGCTCGGCGCTGGTGCTGTCGGCTGCGGGGGAGACGCTGCCCAGCTCTGCTGGAGCCAGGGCAGGGGCAAGGGGTATCTCCCCTGTCTCCCCAGCTTGCACTGGCAGCAGAGCAGGTCGGTGAGGGCAGGACAAGGAAAAGAAACAGCCCAGGGTCCCCATCACCCCCATCCCTCCTCCCTGCTGCGGGAGGAAGGTGCCCCCAGGCCACACATTGCCCTTGGGGATGGTCCTTACCCCAGCACACGCAGCCGGACCAACGCCGGGAGCAAGACAGGCACCTTCCCCATGGGCAAGAGTCCCCGTTTGACCCACAAACCACCCCCCTTCCTCTGCTGTGATCGGGGACTGTGCTGTGGCACCAGCGGGCAGAGACAGGGGCAAACCCCAGCCAGGAACTTGGGTTCGAACTTGCAGTGTTCGAGCAGCCCGAGAGTCGTTTGCAGCCACCACCCATCACCCAGATGGTATCGGCCACCCAGTCAGACCAGCAGCAGTGCAGGTGACCCCGGCACTTACCTGGCAGCACCCAGAGCCCCCACAGCACCCAGCTCCAGAGCGGCCACTGGCCCCAGCACCCCATGGCACTTCCTCAGTGGCAGGGACAGGGCTGTGGCTCTCCCTGTCCCAGGGGAGCGACGCAACAGGGTGGCTCCCTCGGTGAGCACTCCCCCAGGTGGGGGGGACAAGGGTGCCACGTGTCCTGCCTGGGGCACTGACGGCTCCACGTCCTCACAGCCCACCATGGGAGGCGGCCACGTCTTAGTCCTGGGGACCCGCTGATGCTGGGAGACACCCATTTTGCCATGGGAGGTTTAAAGGCCCTTCCCATGGTGACCCCATGGTTGACACCCCAAGGTTGGGGTCCCCAACTCCTGGGGAGCACCTGATGGGCTGCAAAGTCACCTGGCCCAAAGGCCCTGGAACAGCAAGTGGGGACAGGGGTCCCCAGCACCTCTGGGAGGGGTGGGTCAGCCCGGGGCCCTGCACCCCCCCATCCACCCCCCCATTTGCTGCCAGGTCCCTGCAACGCTCAGCTGAGCAGCTGATAACTCCTGGCAAGGGTGGGCTCACCGCCAAGGAGGAAGAAGGAAGGAGCAGCTTCCCGCTGCCGCCTCGGGGTCCCGCATGCTGACCCTGCCCTGTGCCCCCTCCCGGCACTGCTGGCAGGGACTTACGTGCCAGGGTTATCTGTGCTATCGCGGCAAACGCCCACGCAAGCCCAGCCGGGAGGTTGTTCCCACACAGGCGGCAGCACCAGGCCTTGCCCTGGGTTGCAGGTCACCTTCCGCTGGGGATAGCAGCCAGGCGCACCCGGCCATGCAAAGGGACCCAGTAGGGCCACTGCAGGAAACACGTTTGCTTCTTCATGGGGCCTTGTCCAGCTCTGGGATCATTTAAGGGGGGGTAAATAAGTCAGTTAAGGTGGTGTGCCTTCCTCACCTCATTGACAGCCATCCCACCTGACTGCCATGCCATGGTAGCTGCACCTTAGATGGGGAAACTGAGGCACAGAGAGCCCAAAGCACCTATGCATGGCTGTGCCCACAGCAGCACCAGCAAAGCTCCCTGTCCCCACACTCAGGGAGGGCTGGGGGACTGGAGATGAGCGGAGCCGTGGGTGCACATAGCACATCGCACATAGCGATGTGGCTGGGTACCATCTGCCACAGGGAGTGACCCACGGCCGTTCCAGGGCAGCTCTTCCTGCCAGGTGACTCACCGTGCATGGCAGGGTCTCTCCTCTGAAGGCACCAGCTCTGGAGCAAAGGGCATCCTGGGGACCAGGTACAACCAATGCCCACGAACCCCGTGGGTTTGGACATCTAGGTCCTCCTCCACCTGCACGGAGCCCCCTTCCTGGTGCTGCTGCAAGGTGGCACCTCAGGGAACCCAGCTAAGGGGCTCTGCCTCTCACCCGGGGGGGGTTAGCACTGCCACCTGGCCTGGGACCCCATGGGGGCCAGCCCCCCACCTCCCCACTGGCACCTGGCTCCGGCTGCACGGTGGCATGCAGTTGCACAACGCCCCTCGCGTGGGTGGGGGTGCGACGCAGGTCCCGCCACTCCCTGCCCGGGCATGAGTCAGGCGGCAGCCAGGAGCCGAAATGCCGCAGGGCGCCGGGGCAAGGCAGGGGCCTGCCGCAGAGGGCTCCCCTGCACCAGGGCATCGCTGGGGGTGAGCACTGCCCGCTCGGAGGGGGCAAAACCATGCCCAGCCTTCAAGCTTTGGGCCTGGGGATGGGACAGGATGTGACAAACTCCAGCAGCCCCGGATGGGGAGACCTTTGCACCCCAAAACACCCTGGGAGCCACCACCAAGGGCTTTACAGGTGCCTGTGTCATACAACTCCCTAGGGATCCCCAGTGCCTGCTGGGCACCACAGCACACGTGCATCTGCTCCCGGGTACCATCCCTGTGGCAGGTCCCGTGGGTCACAGTCCTGGCCGCCAGCAGGGAGGAACCAGCACCCATGGAGACATGGCCTGTCCCTGTGCGTTGGCGGGGACGAACCTGGGAGACGGCCACAGGCACCCTCCTCTCCATAGAATATTTTTATATATATATATATATATATAATATATATATTA